TTGAGATAATAAAACATTAAATGTATCATATTCAGTAAAATCCACTTTTAGGGGTCATTTAAAAAAGGCAGAACTAAAGTTTGTCTACAGTCTTAAAGCCAACCTTTCCAGCCCCTACCAGATGAAAAGCAGGCATTCTTGGATAACAATACACACCTTCCAAAGTAAGCACCCTGGCAAACCTGAAAACTGTGGTGCTCTGATATTATCATCTTATTATTATTAGATTTTAAGGACAGTTTCATGAAGCATTAAAACCCAATAAAAAGATTATGAGTGCTTAGATTGTTTTGCAGGCTCGCTGTATTTGCTCATGAACTGCAAACAACAGGTTCACTGTAATGACGGCACCCACCAGCAACACATATTTATCTTTCATGTGTTCCACTCTGTTGTACCATTGGAAGCAAACAATTAATTCCAAGGGGCACTTCTGAGTATGGAGGAGGATGTGACTCATGTCTTTCCCCCACTTGACATGGCTGTGCCACCGAGTGCTGTAGCATGAGGTAGAGTAGAATCTTCAGCGCTATGTAAGCCATGCTTAGGAAAAGCACAGGTTCACTTCAAAGCAAACCTGTATAAACCTTAAAATGCGCCTGTACCTAGACTATGAACATTAACCACTTGAGTCCCGGGGCTTTTTTTGTTTGTCACAGTTCTGCAAAGTATATATATTTATTTATTTTTCCCTAATGTATTATTCATGTTTTTTTTTCTTAGAGACAGATAGGGCTTTATATTGGTAGCAAATTTGGATACATATATTTTTAAATTCTTATGTTTGTATTGGGAATAAATTGTAAAAAAAATGTTTTAAAAAGGCACTTTCTTCTAATTTTCCCCAACACAACGCTTACACACTTTGCAAACCCCTAAAGTTAAAGGAGAACTATGGGGTCAGGGCTTTTCCCCATAGTTCTCCTAAGGGTAACGGGAGGACACAAACTAGCGTCCTCCCGTCACCCAAAGCTCACTATACCGCGAGCTACAGCTCGCGGTATACTGAGACACTGCAGCCGGGACAGATCCTGGCATTACTGTCTGGATCCACCCAGCTGCGTGAGTGACAGCTGGCTCTGCCTATCTAGAGGCAGAGCCAGCTGTACCTGCCCCCTCCCCCGTCGGGGGACAGTCACGGTTCTCTGCCGGGACAGGATCGAGAAGTGAGCGAGCGACGGTATGTGTTCGCTCACTTCCCGATCTATTGACCCGACCTGTGACAGTTTCATTGTTCAGGTTGCATAACTTGATAAGATGAGATCAAATCAGGCTGAAGAGGGCACAAATACGCATGACAGTGACTTCTTCACATTTTTTGTGAATGCTAAAAATTTGAAGGACATTGTGTTCTTTTACGCGAGCATTTGATGCCTGCACAGTGAACACAAATGCTATCTAGAATATCTGACATCATTGTGTATTTATTTATTGATTTGTTTTTTTTGTATGGGAGGTCTAGATCTGGTCAGTGGAGACCTGATTCAGACCCCAAATGCTGCTGTTCACCAGCAGATCACTTCCAATAGCAATCTATTGTTGGCTGCAATCAGTCAGCAATAGTGGAGCTGGTATGAATAGCAGATATCCCAATTACATTTTAAAATGGTGTCTGGGACTTAGGCTGCTAAACTATGTACATATCCTTAACAAGCAGTAAAAAAAAGCTTTAAAACAAGCCCTCCCTGACCTCTATGGTTGCTTTATTTTTAAAGATTCACACCACGCGCGTATCGTACACATTCTGGTGTGCGGTGCCTATCACAGTTGCAAAGAGCCAATCTCACTTTTCTACAGGCACAGCAGGGTTCAAGGTAGTTGTACTACATGGATCCCGTTCTGTTGAAAAAAAAAGTAAGGCATGCTTTACTATTTTCAGGACACCCCACCGTATTCCTATCGTAAATTGTCTTGTCTTGCGTTGGGGCTGCGCTGGAAACAACGGCCTGCGCAGTTCCAACGCAGATAGTATGAATCAGCCCTTGGCAGGCTTGGCATTAATACATGGAAGGGAAGGACGCACTTGTGCTTACACAAATATGACTGTGGCTTTGAAAAAGCAAGTATTTAAAAGTCTCTTTGGACAGGTTTAGGCGGCACAGAACAGATGAATATTAAAATATTATATTAAAGTTAAATCCTGGTTTATTTTGCTGCCTGTTGTCTGCTACATTTGTTAGTCTACATATTTAGGCTTTCAACAGGTTCACGTCAAATTGAACCGGTGCCCACTCTAGGGACATTAAATTATTTACATATTTTAACAAGCAATAAAATAGCTTTAATGAGTTGGTTCACTTCTACCTTAAAATGTCCAATGCAAATGCAACCCCTTTCCTGAGCATGTGTAGTGCACTCTTTCTCCCTCTGTCACAGAAAAAGCTGAGCTCAGTGTTGTGCAACAGAAGAAGAGAGACTGCACTGCACTGCACATTAGCAGATTTTGAATGAGCCAGACTATTAATTCCTGCAGTAAGATGCATCCTGCCATCTAGGCAGGATGGGGGGGCGACCTACCTAGGAGTTTTTCTGACATGCTTGGATGAAGCCCCACAGAGTCTATAGGTATGCCATTGAAAAGTAGCTTCTTTTCAAAAATGGTGCAGTGGGAACTTGGCAGCCTGCCTATTGCAAATGCCCCCTTTTCCTTTAAAACAAGCCCTCGCTGATGTATGTAGCTGCAGGACTCTAGCCATTGACAAAGATCACAAAAGAGACTCTGAAGTTTGGTTTTAGTGGGTTTCTGAACATCACCTTCTGTTTATTCATCTTAGAGGGTTGGCAGGCTGCCAAGTTCCTGCTACCAGAGATATTAAGGGAAGAAGGGAAGAGGAACTGTGATTTCAATGCCTCTGTTGTGTGCAATTTTCCCCAGAATGCCTGCAGCTACAGAGGTCAGTGAAAGCTCGATATACTTTTCTTTTACTGCTTGTCAAGAGTCTGGAAATACATTAATGCCCATAGTCTGGACACAGGTGCACTTAAACTACATTATTTTTAATATATTATTAATGATTTAACATTATATGCAAGGGCCTAGTTAGTGTTGTAATCACATAGGAGTGCAATGGGTGCTCAGAACTTCAAGCCGCTTTCTGAGATGTACAGTATTTACTTAAGTTTTCTGCATTTTGCAAATGACCCCTTTTCCTTTAACTTTTAGTAGTGTACACCTGTGAAATCCTTTTTTCATTAACTCCCAACATCAAAACTAACTGGTACAATTTAATTTATATTGTTTTGTTTTTTTATCATTTGGATATTTATTTCATACTGTTTTGTTTATCCCTGAATGCTTTTAATCTCCTCAGGTTCTAAGCAGTTGTATGAAGATAATGAATCTAAAACCAATTTGAATGGACTCTTCAAAGCTTTCATTATAGTTTTCTAATATTCTGCAAATATGTGAATCTAGAGAATAATATAAAAACAATCCAGTAACAGAAAATAATAAAGACCCCCCTCCAAATAAATAAATAAATAAATAATAGAAATTAAATAGTTCACTGCACATTTCATATTATCAGCCAAATACAATAATTCCTCAACAAGACTTTGCTACATTGTTCCTCGTCAAGTGAAGGCCCTGAAAACAGAAGTGGAAGGATTTTTTTTTTCTTACTCCGCATAATCGGCAACATTTGGGGTGCATGCTTAAACTACGGAGGGAGGTGGGTTTTGGAGTTTGCATAATGTCATAGATTTAGTTTGGGGGTGAAAAGGAGTGGTGTGAAAGGTCTCGGTAGCATCTGGTAGACGCAAGCTTTTTTGAAGTGTTGCCAATCTCTCTATTTAAATCACAAATAACAATATGTTTTCAGAGTTACCCAATCAAATTAAAACTCCTGTGTCATCTTTTAAATTTTTTTATGACACATTTTAATCTGCTTTTTGAGATATGTGGAAACATTTGGAGGAAATAATCGTGTAATTCGGGGAAGGGCACTTAAATGTGAATAGGAATAGTTTGCAATGAATATAATTTGAACCTGATAGAAGGATAGCGATTTATAGCTGGCCATATATATTAGAGAAGGGGTGGAATGACAATCAGATCACCTCATGATGTCCCCTGGGCCAGGAACACCCCAAATAGGGATTCTCTCTCATATGACTGTTCCTATTTAGAGAACTGAAAGAGAAAGGGTGAGCCACATACAGACAGTCCCAATGCCAGTAGCAGTGCAGATGGGTTTATTAACCTGCACAATAATTTTGTTCCCTAGTTTGTTCAGGTCATCAAGTGCTGCCCCATAGACAATAGACTGCTGTCTGATTCAGCCGAAAAGGCGACATCAGGAAATTGTAATTTAATGCCATTGGGAAAATCTACAACCAAAGGTGGGTAAAGAGAGGATAATGCCAGAATTATAAGGAAGCTAGAATTGCAAAAAAGATGGCAAAAAAAATACAGGGATTAGGGGTTGGTATGGAGGAGATAAATAGAAGATGTGACTATAAAAATTGGAGATAGAAAAAAAGACAAAAGGACATTGAAAGAGAAGTAGAAATTGACATTTAAATCAATCATGTTTAAGAAAAAGATGGAAAAATAAAACAATTTAGGTTTAACTACTTTAAATATTTCTGATTTTGAAAAGCTGCTCAGATTTAAAACATCTGTGTGGAGCTGATTTTTTGCTTGTGGTTTCATTCACTTGTCACTTGTCTAATTTTCTGCTGACACAAGTTTATCATGGTATAAACAGGTTTATCGTCAGCCACTAAAATTCTTATTGATCTGGACCATTCATTTTAGAATGTGATTCCACCATGTAAATGGAAGGCAACTTCAAAAAGGCTTAACCCCTTTTTTGCTGACTGCTTGTTAAGTGCAGCTGCCTGTTGTATGTTGCTAGTATGTTAGGCTGGTCTATGTCTGGATGGTGGATGTGGGTTGCTCAGGAAGCTTGAGGACATGTTCATGATATCTACTGCCATGAATAACACATTCTTCCTCTTGCTCTCTCCCTGCTCCTTTCTTTTGTGTCTGGTTCCAGGATAAGACAAGTGCACTGAGCCTTAGTAATGTTGCTGGGGTCTTCTACATCCTGATTGGAGGTCTTGGATTGGCCATGTTGGTTGCGCTCATTGAGTTTTGCTACAAGTCAAGGAGTGAATCTAAAAAGATGAAGGTGGCATCTTTTCTTTTATCATATCTTATGTTTTGAATGTGTACTTATCTCATATTAATCTAAATCCTAGGCTGGCCATACATATCCCAATTTTCACACACACAAGTAATGCAACCACTCTCAATAATTGGGTCATATATGGCAGAGCTCAAAATTTCAAGTCCTGAGCTACTAGCCAGGCCTTAAGAGTTACTCGCCACCAGTTGCCCCACCTAACCCTAACTCCATCCCTAAACACACCCTCTTAAATAATCTTATGATAATTCTTATCTTATGATAGTTGCCGCGTGTATAAGGCAGATTAGGGATTCCTGCTGCAGGAAAATGCAAGTTCCTGACGCAGGAATCCCTAATCACACCTGAAATATACTGTAGGTGTGTAAATAAAATTCCCCCCCCGCACACAAAAAATAATACACTACCCCCGTTATAAGCCCCCCCACACATAAAATAATACACTCCCCCCTTATTAACCCACCCACC